GAGCACAAAGTGCTACAACAATAAAAACATAGAATACAATATCAGTTAAGAACACTCATAAACAGACAGAAGCCAAATGGATATCCAAGGACTGATATAGGCCAACTCCTACCCGGCTGGCTCTCCCATCGGGGGCTTACCCGTGGTGGCATTCTCCGTGATTTTCTTGATCGTTTCGTTTTTGTGTATCTCAATGACATTCTTCTTCCCTCACAGAGCACCCCCAGCACGTTCGCCAGGTCCTTCTTCGACTCCTGGAAAACTGCCTTTATGTCAAAGCTGAGAAGTGCGTCTTCCACTCCCCCTCTGTGGCATTGCTGGGGTTCATCATCGAACAGGGAAGACTCCGTGCCGACCCATCCAAGATCTCTGCTGTCACTAATTGGCCTACCCCCACCTGTGTGAAGGACCTGCAACGCTTCCTGCGCTTCCTACGATGTGGGAAACAAGGAACTGCTGGCTATAAAATTGGCTCTTGAAGAGTGGCGGCACCTCCTTGAGGGTGCCGACCAACCTTTTTTGGTCTGGACCGATCACAAGAACTTGGCCTACCTCCAGTCAGCTAAAAGACTGAACCCCAGGCAAGCAAGGTGGGCCTTGTTCTTTGATCAGTTCCGGTTTACCCTCTCATATCGGCCGGGGTCTCGCAACCAGAAACCAGATGCCCTCTCCCGACAATATAACCCCCCAGCCACTCATGACACGCCTACCTCCAGTCAGCTAAAAGACTGAACCCCCGACAAGCAAGGTGAGCCTTGTTCTTTGATCGGTTCCGGTTTACCCTCTCATATCGGTCGGGGTCTCACAACCAGAAACCAGATGCCCTCTCCCGACAATATAACCTCCCAGCCACTGATGACAGTCCGGAGCCCATTCTTCCTGCCTCCTGTATGGTGGCCTCCATTACATGGGAGATTGAGGACACCTGATGGGAGGCGCAGCAACAGCAACCCGATCCAGGGGATGGGCCACCAGATAGAGTATACGTCCCCCTGGCTGCTAGGGCCCAGATCCTCGACTGGGCCCATGCCTCACGGCTAGCATGCCATCGGGGGGTACATCGTACCATCTCCCTCCTGAAACGTTACTTCTGGTGGCCCACCCTAGAAAAAGATGCAGGGGAGTACGTAGCCACCTATGCCCCCTGTGCGCAATCCAAACCACTCCACCAGTCCCCTGCGGGTCTTCTTCGGCCGCTGACTATGCCTAGTCAGCCCTGGTCTATATAACCCTCGACTTTGTCACCGGCCTGCCTCCCTCCCAGGGCAACACGGTCATTCTCACCATCATCGACCGTTTCTCCAAAGCCACCCATTTCCTTGCCCTTCCACAACTCCCCTCTGCTCTAGAAACCGCCCAGCTCCTGGTTCAGCATGTTTTTCGTATTCACGGCACCCCCATCACTATCGTTTCTGACC